ATATATATATATATATATATATATATATATATATATCTTTCCTTTCCTCTCTTCTTCTTCATTTTCGTAGAAATGCAAAGAGAGAAATAGAGAGAGAGAGAGATAGAGAGAGACTCATTTATTCCCATGTCAGAAAGGGCGCCGCCTCATATCTTCTCTTCTCATACCTGTCTGTCGAATAGTATGCACAGATGCTGCTGTCATTGCGAGACCCAGTCCAATATTCATCACAGCAGCGGCAATGAGCAAACCGTATTCACGCCGTGGAAATAAATGTTGTGTAAAGTGTGATGGATCAATGAATGGAGTTACGGCAATCCAGATAATATAATACGCGTACAGTACAGTACTGAGAGGTAGCAGGACTTTGGCAATAGTCCGATCATACAACATTTCTCACCTGTTGTTATTGCTACTACTACTACTACTACTACAAGTAGTACTACTACTAGTGAGATGCGAGAGAAATAGATAAATAGATAAATAAAGAAGAGAGAGATTTGTATAGAATGAGTAAATAAGAATAAAAACCATAATAGGTATAACACTACTGTAAACACAAAATACGTATTGATCCTCAAATAACACGTCTTACATCGACCTCACATCATCTTTCTCTGTGGAAGAGAAAGAAAGAAAACAAACAAATAAATAAAGACTCAGTATAAACCACACGAACCTATCATTTTCGTTAATCATGTTAAAAGAAAATGAGTTCCATTTCCACCTTTATTCTCATGCATTCTCAGCATTAACTGGGGGCAGTCTCTCAAGAAATTCGTAGGATTTGCCTTCTTCTTGCGGTTTTTGCAATTTCGACATGATTGTATAAAATGCCTTCCGTGCGGCTTCCACGTAGGCGCCATCGTCGATGAGATTCTGAAATAATGTTGGCACTGGCACTACTACACAAGAGTCCTCATCCTCCTCATCTTCATTATCTTTATTATCATTATTAATATTATCTTTACTCGAACCGTCTTTTTCTTTATCTTCCTCTAGTAGGTGTTCTTGTTCTCTTTGATGTTGTTCTTGACGTTTGCGGTACTCTTCCACAGCGTATGGATGAGCCCTACACGTTTCACTCACATTGGCGTTATTATTATTATTATTATTATTATTATTATTATTATTATTATTATTATTATTAGCGGCCACACGACTACGTTCTGCCTCTTCTCGTTCCCGTAAAACAAAGGAGGCAAAGAAGATCACATCACTTTCATCTATGCCTACACCAGATGAATGGGGTTTCACCGTAGAAGACTCTGCATGTTGTTTTACAAATCTTTGCTTAACGAATTCCCGCAATTCCACTGCTGTCATTTCCTCTTCATTTACTGTGAAATGAATAATAACGGAAGTATTATCATTAGGTGCCTGTTCTGATGCCGCACTTAATTGCTGAACGTGTACGACAGCACCGGGTTTCGCTCTACACAAGGCAAATACAATCGGAGGTGATTTTTCATTAATATCTTCACTATTATCATTCTCCGTTGTTGTTGTTGTCTTTATACACCCAGATGCACGCAGCTCTGCCCAGGTTACTAATGGTTTTCTTGCAATCATTATAACACGAGAGAAGCACACTCCATTGTTAATATTCTTATCTTTATTATTCATCGTATCGGAAGACAGAGATGTAAAGCGATTAGCGATGATCTGAGGAAGTACCACTACCTTGGTCTTTATACGTTGAAGATTACTTAGCTCCACACATGGATAATTAACCTGTTCAATCATATCACTCTTATTATTATTATTATTATTATTATTATTATTATTATTATTATTATTATTATTATTATTATGCTGCTTATATCCACTTGGTACCACACGATGAAGCCCACGACGAAGTACAAATACCGCATTCCACACAGCTGCAATGCGACACATATTCTGTGGAATCTCAGCAGCACCATACATGGCTTGTAGAAACGGTGTTTCCCCACCAAAAGCCCCACAAGATGTGAGTACATGTCGAACCAATGAAACTGAACGCACAACATCCGGCGGTGTGATATCCAATTGCTGCATTAATGTAACTATATCCGCTGCGGCCTCTGCAATTCCATACTTCCGCTCCAACATCATACTTAATGTTTCCTCTGGATGTTTCATTGCCTCTTCTGCAAATCGAGCCACTGCGGCTTCTACCACTGCCCGTGCATGTTCCACTGCGGCTTGGGAATAGGGATCATCTCCTGTTTCTGCCGTTCGTGCATGTGTTTGTTCTGCTAATGTGGCTTCTACATCCTTTACAAACTTCATTAAACGTCTTTTTTGTATAAGACTCATTCGATCATCTACAAACACCTGTGATCGGGTGAGAGGAATACTCTGTAATCCAAACCCATTATTATCATTATCTGGTTTGGAGGATAAGGGCATTAAAAAGGTAAATCCAGAAACACAACAAAATTCCAAATGACGTGCCATATCCGATTTAATCAATTGTTGTACAGTTTCACCATTAGAGAGATAATGTGTAGGGAGAAGATCTAATAAATATTTCCCACGTATACGACTCTCTATTTCATCCATACGATCCACCATTATGTGTATATCCCTCTTTTCCTCCTTTTCTTCTTCTTCTTCTTCCACACCTCTTACTGCCAAATACTCCCGCATTTGTTTAATATTAAGCGTCTTGAATACACCTCCGTAGTCTTCTTGTCCATCGCAGTGTAAAACCCGCACCCCACACCGTGCGAGAGCCGCAGACAACATCGACTCCACCACACCCGTGCCGTGCAGGACAACATCAAAGATATCTTCACCAGGAGGAAAGGCCGCACCGGCAGCATCAAAGTAGTGAATAATTTTATAAACTCGCACGGGTTGTCGAATCTCCTCTGGTCCACGGTCATCTGGGAACATCATTGGGTATGATTCCTCATCTAATTGTTCATATCGCAAACCACGAGCAACACACTTATCAAAGAATTGTAAATCCTCCACTTGTTTATGTGCACGATGGTGGGAGAAGACACAGTAGGCGGCGGAATTACGACTACGCTGCAGTACTCGCGCTAATGTATCAGCAAGATCATCATTACAAAAGTGATTAAAGAGAATATCAGATAATATCACAATATCAAAACCAGCACCACCCGTGTAGGATAATACTTTTCGTATATGTTCCTCTTTACCCCATAATAAAGGTTCCACTACACAATGTGTCTGTGTTGCCCTTTGCCGCTCCACCTCATCCAGTAGACTTTCTTTTGTATTGTTATTATCATCCTTATTCTTATCATTTACGGTAGACCACATCGCCTTACGTCGTTCTGCTTCTTTTAATAAAAAGGAAGAAGCATCGTTATCCAGCAAGTCTGGGGTACAATTCGCCTTTACATTCATCTCAAGAATCTCAAGTAAATCCTCATCTGGATAATCTGTGACAACCACACAACGGGCTCCATTACGAAATGCGGCTAATGAGGGTACACCAAGACCAGCACCAAGTTCCAATACTGTCTTTCCACGAACATCAATCATTTGAGTATCCATACGTTTAACCATATACTTCGCTGCATTCCATAATCTGTGTCCCCAAAGACTATGACGTTTATTGCGGAAATATACTTTAAGAGGAGTTAACGGTAAATCTGTGCGGTCCTGCGGTGTGGGGTGGTCAAATGCTTCTAAATGTGTTGTGAATCCCGGGTTTGTACTTCCCTCACACTGCAATTGCATGCGATCCACGTGGAGTTCCTCAATAGGGTAGACGGGCACGGTCTCCTCTGCAGAGGCGAAGAGATCCCCAAAGCCCTGTTCATCATCAGATGACATGATAGCCGCGTATCTAACACACTGAGTAAGATAGATAGATAGAAATAGAAATTAAAATAGAAATAGAGAGAGAGAAAGAAAGAGACTCTTCTCCTTCTTATATATATATATATATATATATATTCTCTCTATTTACTACTTCACGATGTTTTCTTTTTTTTTTTTACTTCTTTTTATTTGTTCACCGTTTCCTGCGCTGATGCTTCTGTTGGGTTTTTTACTTGATTGTTTTCCCTTGCTGAGTGTACAAGAGAAAGAAAGAAAAAGAGAAAAAATATAAAATGAATACAACAAACTTCCACAATACCAATACCATTATACAGAAAGAGAAACAATAAAAAGAGTGAAAAATAAAAAAAAAATGTGAGGCGATACCCTTTTATTCTGTAATTTAAACCGAAATATAAAATAATAATAATAAAAAAAAAGAAGCACAAATAAAATAAGAAACAATGTAAATAGAAAACACCTTTAGGGCAATATCTCTATTATATCCACGATAAAGAGAAGACTTCTTTTAAACAAGTGACACCGCCGCAGCTTATTCATATCCCACCTTCCAACACTCATACAAACCCAAAATATAGGGAGAAAAAAAAAAAGAAAAGAATATTAAAATAGAATACAAGAAAAAAAAAAAGAAACAAGAATTGTGGCGCGGATCAAAATTATTTTTCTTTTTTCTTTTCTCTTTTCTCTCTCTCTCTTTTACAACCCCAAGAGAAGAGTTTCCAGGAGAACAATACCACCAAGAGAGCTACACTCCTGCCAGAGTACATGCATCTCTGGACAGGCCTCATACATCAACGGTCGAGTTGCGGCAAGATAACGTCTACGACTATAAACATGCTGAAGGAACTTATTCGTCTCTGTTCGCAATAGTTTCAACATTTCTTTTTCGTTCTTCTTCTTTTTCTTTTCTTCTTGATATTCACCGTGTGATAGACAATGATAACCACTATTATGGTAACGACCATCATTCTTATTATTATTATTATTATTATTATTATTATTATTATTATTATTATTATTATTTTCCTCCTCCTCCTCTTCACTCTCCGTCCAAAAGGATGATGATGAGACTAGAGACGTTGATGCCTCATGCGTATACGCTTCGTCTTTCCAACAGGTTCGTTTTCTCTCATTACCCGCATGCTTTTCCATACAAGAAGAAGAAGAAGAACTAATGTGGCTCTGTTCCTCACGATATCGCCGATCTCTTTTAAAGGTTGTCCACCAATTGGGAGCCTTTGCCGGAGCACACAAAGGACACCGTGATAAATGTAAGGCCCGTATATTTTGAAATATTTGTGTAATTCCCATGTAAACATCACTTAACTCCACATGTACAGACGATAGAGCCTCTTGTGATGAACTAACAATTCTCTTATCCATATTGCCTAAACTATGCGAGCAATCCGATGGCACAACGGCAGAACATGATGACCCTAATGGAGTTCCCCAAACAAAAGATACAGTTGAAACAAGAGGAGAATGAACTGTATCTTCTTCTTCTTCTTTTCCCTCTTCCTCTTTGTTAAGACTCACAATATCAGGGGAACTACTTGACAACATGATTTCTCCAGCCGGATTATTATTATTATTATTATTATTATTATTATTACCACCACTACTAGCACTACTGGTGTTCCTATCTGTTGTGGCTATCCCCATTACGGAGTCTCCTTCTTCTCTTCCCACCGCTGCTACTGCAGCAACGGCTCTCGAGTCTAATGTAAAAGATGATAATTTCTGTGTTTTCTTCTCAGAGTGATCACGACGTACGGCTCGATGATGATGGGCGAGCAGCGACCATGGCTGCGGTACTCGTTCAGAGAAACACAATGTCTGACTGTTAAGTTCTGGTGTATCTGATAAAAGTGTGGGTGGGTGATCACTTCCCATTTACTCTCTTCTTTCTTCTCTCTCTATTATATATATATATATATATATATATATATATATGTATATATGTATGTATAAATATGTCTCTGTGTATATGTGTATACGCTATGTCTATATGGGATTCAAATTCTTGTACCTTTTAAATAACAAGGAGAATAACAACAAGAAGAAAGAGAAATCACAAATAGTGATATCATAGTAAGAAAAAAGAAAAAAAAAAAAGAAGGGGAGAGTAGTAATAGGAGAATAAAACGGCAACTGTAATTATAGAGGAATGAAAAAAAGAAAAAATAAACAAATAAAGAAGATCGCTAATATGTTCCACTTTGAAAATACAAATGGGAGAGTAAAGCAAACAAAGACATCACTAGAAGCATTCTGTGCTTGTATGTATGTATGTATGTATGTATGTATGCGTGCGATAGATGACATAATAATAATAATAATAATAATAATAATAATAATAATAATAATAATAATAATAATAATAATAATAAGAGGAGAGAGCCAGATGCATGGTACAGCAAAATACAAATAAAAAAATATATATAGGGAAACGCTTGCTCTCTTTCTTCCTCTCTCAAAAACTCACACATACAGTAAGAAAGAAAATAAAAAAAAAAAACTAAAGAAAAAATACAGAGAAGCAACACAAACACACAAAGACACTAAATAAAAGATGCGATAATCCTCTCTTTTTTTTTTTTTTCTCTTTACGAAGCGGCATTATTCGCTCTGTTCGTATTTATTGAGGTAGTTGGGGTACTATATACAAGAGAGACACCCTTTTCTGTAAAGAGAGAGTCTAGCTTCTTCTCTAGTTCTTTTTCACCTCCAAGAGGAGTTGAGTGAGTATGAGAGAGTGGCTGAGATCCCGACAGGGAAGATGTAATAGCTTTTAACTTTGCCTCCCACCATTGTACTTTATCCATTGATGGATCTGCCGTCTGCATGGGCGGTGATGAACTCAAAACATCATCATGATGATGAAGAACAGGAACCTCTTTTGTTGTTATTGTTATTGTTGCCTTTGCAGGGCTTCTTGTTGTGATTCTTTCTATTTCTCTGTTATCACTACATGATGGTAATTCCCTCTTTAATTCTTCTTGTGATTTTGATTGTATAGACTGTGGGGAGTTTGTCAATCCAACAACACTATTTATACTGTTTCCACCATCTCGCCACATTCGATCAATCTGCACTCTTAATTGTCGTGATTCCCACTCTCCCAGTTCCTTCGCCTCTCGCAATCCACGTCTGTCTTGTTGAATGTGTGTGAGTTGAGACTCTAACGCCGCCACCTGCTTCTGTAGATACAATCGATCCACTTCACTCTGTCGAGATGTCTCTTGCAATAACAACAGTCGGTGCTCTGTTTCCCGTAATTGTTTTTCCTTCTCATCTCGTTCACTCTGCACACTCCGCAGGGTTCGTTGAGTGCGGTGGAGTTCCTCATTTGTATTGTAATAGACTCCCTGTTCTCTTCGCATTTCCTCCTGCAATGCGTGTAGTTTATCCTCCACTGCACGGCAGGCCACTTCCCCCTCTCGCCGCTGTTGTTGTTGTTCCTGCAATGCCGCCTCCAACGCAGTGTTGGCCCGCAGGAGTTTCTCCACCCGCGCCGTTCGCTCCTCCGCGAGTGCCGCCGCCTCCGCCATAATAGAGGCACTCTCATCTAATGCCAACTGCAATTCCGCAGCTCGCCGTTGGGCCGTCTGCGCATTTGTTGACTGTTCTTCTGCGAATGTGCGAGCAGAGAGACACTCCGCCCGTTCCGCCGCACACACCGACTGTAAATTCATGTATTGATGTTGAAGCGTTCGGCCCGCACGGCATAAGGCTGCGTAGGCACGGCCGGCAATAAGAACATCATCTTTCGCCGCGTTTAGGGCCTGCTGTATTCCCTGAAGTAATTGTATAATAATTCGAATAGTCACTTCCATGAAACGATCATTATTATTATTATTATCACTATCATTATCATTATTATGACTATCTATTTCTTTTTCTTCTTCTTTTTGAAGAAGACCATTCATATCATAATTACTTTTTTTCTTTTTCTGTTGTTTTGTTAGAGTTACATGCAAGAGATGCTCTAATTCCGCTCCAGTGGGTTTACATGAAATAAACGTGAGAGGTCGTGTTGGACCATTTCTCTTTGTAGACATTTCTTCTAATACAGGACTCTTAACATCACTCTCAATAAAGGGATGTTCCTGTTCTTCCTTCACAACATCAATCAATTCTTCACACTCGCGACTCATCTCATCACAACTATCGGCACACACTAATGCTGTATTTGTTAATTGCGCTAACATCTCTTGAAGTGTTTGCATTTGATGTTTCAACATATTATTCTTCTTCTTATTCTTTTGCAATTCCCCCTCTTCTTCTTCTTCTTCTTCTTCTGTTGTTTTCTTCTTTTTATTCTTCTCCTTCCCACTAAGCTCTGCACGTAGTTGATCAATCTCCATTTGATAGGCCACTGCCTCATCTGAGAGGGTTTGAATGTACACATCCGCCTTTGCAAGTTTCTCTAATACAACTTCCATTTCACGTTTATGATTTGTTTCTCTCAATTGCTGTTCTTCTCGCATCTGCAGTATTTCACTCTCCGTTGATGTCCTCTTCGCCGCTACCACATCCCGAAGATGTTTAAGTTCTACTTGAGATGTTTGTAGTTCTGCTGTGAGTTGTTTTTGTTTTTCTAATAATTCCCGTATCACATGTTCATAGTGTTGACGTGCTGTTGTTTGTTCAGACTTACACCGATGTAATTCCTGTTCACGATAGAGAACATCATGTTCGAGGATCTTTGTCTTTTCCCTCCACTGTTGGAGTTCCTTCTCTATACTGGAGAGATGCCGGTGTCTATCTAGACTAGTGGTCTCATCCACATCATATGCCCATCGTTGTTGTTGTTGTGTAGAAGGTAAAGAGGAAACGAACCTTCTGCCATTCTGGAAATAATGATCATGACTATTAGGTTTATTATTATTATTATTATTATTATTATTATTATTATTATTAATATTATTATTAGTATGGTTTTTGTTGTCACTATGAGGATTACTGTTACTACTCGTCCTCTGTTGATTGTGAGTGAATGGCGGGCTTGGTAATGTATCGGATGGGATAGCAACAGCACTAGTACTTCTCGTGCGGCGGGGATCTGCAGACTCTGAACGTATGCGGCGTATACCCGGCGACTGCATATATGCCCTCTATCAACATATTATATATATATATATATAAACAAAGAAAAAGAAAAAGAAAGAAAATAGAAAACATCCACATAAGTACAGAGAGGGGAAAAAACAACAACCATAACAAGAATATAATAGATATTAATTAAAAGAGATGAAAGAAAGAAAGAAAAAAAAAAAGGATGAATTGAAATAAAAACTTGTGGTTACCCTCACACATCAGCTCCGCAAATACAATACAACACATATACACACAGAGAGAGAGATATAATTCTACCAGCAACCAACCATATAAATGTAAATATTTATGTTTATATATGCATAAATATATAAATATATATATATTTGTATGTATGTATATGTGTTTCTTGCTCTCTATTTCTCTCTCTCTTTACCGGTATATTTCTAAGCGTGGGAATCAGTACCACGCTAGTGTGGAGAAACGGTAAGAGAGGATAAAAAAAAAAAAAAATGGAAAAGAGGAAATAGAACATGTAGAATAAAAAAATCCCTCAAAGAGAAAAAAAAAAGAAGAAGGAGACAACATCTTCCTCTTTCTTTTTCCTCTCTCTTTCCAGCAGTAGCAAATCAACGAGAATAATAATAATAATAATAATAATAATAATAATAATAATAATAATAAAAAACAAACAGGAGATCTCCTTCTCAACAATAACGGAGTTAAAACTAGGAAAAAAAAAAACGCTTCAGATATCAATATCACAACAACAAACCTTCTCTCTCTCTCTCTCTCTCTCTCTCTCTTCGCAGAGTATACTTCTCACAAATTATTATTATTATTCTCTTTTATTTATTTATTTATTTATTTTACACCATACGTCTTATTTTCCTCTTCTGCTTCTCTACTCTCTCACTTCCACATCCTTTGGTGTAGTAGAGATAGACAGACACCATCACAAACACCGCCGCTACAAAGTCCTGCTGTGTAAAGGATTCATCCAACACAAGAGAAGCCACAACAGCCATTAACACCACCTCTACTGCAGAAGCAAAGGCTTTTACTATTACATTAATAAACTTTAAAATAAATGCCGCTGTTAATCCATTTAAAGCACCCATGAAAATAATAGGAATAAAAATAATATGTGGATGATAAAGTAAGTGTAATTGCATATATTCCTGAGGAGCCACCAAAAGACCAAGAAGAAGATTAAATAAGATACCATATAAATACATAAAGAAATTTTGTTGATGAATACTAAGATAAGCCTCACGTTTAAGAGCAAGTTCATTATATACACCAGCAAGAGATGAAAAAAACGCTTGTAAAAGTATCGCTAACACACGTACATTCATTAACATCATTAATGTAGGTGAAATATACTTTACAATAAGTCCTATTGTGAGAATACCAAGTGATATCCACTGCCGTAAAGAGAGTGCCCGTTGAAGAACAGTGGCAAAGAGAAATCCAGTAAAGAGAACACGTGTTTGCATAAACATCTGAACTGTTCCAGGATCAAAGTAATGTAAATTAATGTATGTAAGATTATTATATAATGCATAGAGTAAAGCTGGTATCACATATACCATACTCATTCGCCAAAGTTCACGCCTTTCTCTACCAAAGGTAACACTATAAAAAAGAAAATCTCCATCTTCTGCATATTTTAATGCTACAGAAACCATAATCTTCGTAATCTCAATAGCCATTACAATTCCAGTACTATTATACGAGAGAAAACCCTCTCTTTCTAGTTTTTTACTATAACGTATTGTAAGAAAGAGAGCAATACTTGTACCAATGTACATACTGGATAGAATTAAACTAAGTGAAATACCAAAACTTTGTGAATTTTCTACAGGTGTTAATGCCCCTGCTGTTGCTGATGCTGGTGGAGTGCCGGTTGGTGTGATGGCTACGACTTCCTCTTGTGGATCTTCATTCTTCTTTCCATCCAACTCATGCACCTCAATGGGTACATGGGTCGTGTATAATAAACTCATAGAACTACACAGCAGCTTTGGAGAATATATATATATATATATATATATATATAGAGAGAGAGAGAGAGAGAGAGAGAAATTCAAAGAAAGAAAAAAAGGATAAAAAAAGAAAACGAAAAAGAACAACAACCACAACCACAACGAAATTCAAGTCTCTCCAACGAGTAGTATATAATACAACACACTATAAATCGTACGGAAGGAGGTAATGATACACACACACATATATATAGAGAGAGAAAAGAAGAAAAGAGACCACCCATAGCCAAAAAAAAAAAAAAAACTCACTCTGTTCACACAAACAACACAAACAACAACAGACACACATTTAAAGGGGATTCACAATATTACCGCCTCCTAATGTCTTTGCAGAATTCCCCTCTTCACGGGCATTTCGTAGCAACACCAACCAATTCCCCGCATCATCTTCACCTTTCAAAGAAGAAGAAGAAGGTGGAATTAATTGCACAACATTATCTCCTCTTGTCACTACTTTCAAATAGTGTAGCATCATTTTACTCGCTGCTGGACTCCCATACTCGTGTTCCCACAAACACAACTGACAAAGACGTCGTATCGTAATAACAATCGTCTTTTCACCAACACCAGCATTAGAAAGACTATCCACAGTATCTACAGTATTAGTAGTATTAGTATTAGTAGAAGTAGTAGAAGAAACAGCATGTGTTTTCGTATTCATTGTATATTGCCCTTCAAAGGCCCACCAGGAACGCATAATTCGACAAATACGACGTTCAAACACATACGGTGCCGCACAGAAAACGACAATATTATTTGCCGTATTCTTTTTCCCTTCTTCTTCTTCTTCTCTCTTCTTCTTCTTATTCTCTGTTTCATCAAAATCCTCCATAATTTCTGAAGGTGTACGATTATTCACATCCAGTGGTTTCATTTCATTCGGTTGCATAAATATACACCGACACACATTTGTTATCTTGGGATTTACACTAGATCCATCACTTGATTGCCACCACCATCCATATTGTTCAGCCGACACTTCCCTTGTGGTTCCCTTCACTTCATCCGATGTATTGTGAAGACTATTATTATTATTATTATTATTATTATTATTATTAACATCACTACTACCACTACCAACAACAGTGATGTTGGATGATGTTTCTTTTATATTGATTTCCTCTTCCACACATTCCCGTGAGGCGTACCGGCCAGTGCGTGAACGACGATCCATTCCATGTGTACGTGAGGATCTAGGGCGTCCAGAATTATAATTATAATTATGAGGATCATCATTACTACTACGTATACGTTTGGCACGTAATAATTCAACCCATCGTCGTTGTGTTTCCCGACGCCGCATCTCATGTTTCTCCATGCGAACAACAGCGGGATTGCCGGTATAGATAAGAAGAAAATGCAACAGGGAACGATAATGGGCAGCAAAGGGAAGACTTGACCATTGTAGAAGAGCTGCCAATTGTGCTATTGTGATGGGTGTGGCAATAATAACCGTAAAGAGATAACCAAGTTGTTCATTCACAACTTGTAGAAGTGTAGAGGTGGATTGTGTTAGTAGTGGGGCTCCTAATAATGCGGTACCCACATATCCTTCCTTTGCCTCTGTACACCAGCGTCGTAAATAGTCATTTCCCTCATCACATGCATGTAATTCCAGTGGTGTATGAAATTTTGTATCTGTTCGTGTTGAACTCACATTAGAAGAAGAAGAAGTTTTATCACTGCGAAGTAATACGGGAATATCACGAGCATCGAAAGTATTTACCCAAAGCTCAACAAGATGTTGAGAAAGAGATATATCCCTCTCATTTCCTACTACATTTGTGGATATATTTCTTCTATTGGTTTCTTTACCAAGAAAGAAGGCATTATCGGAATCCATGACGGAGTCTAACAAATACCATAAACTTAACATGTAACTCCAACGTGAAGTTACATTTCCCTTCTTCTTGTTGACGGCACTATTCACATCTGCAGAGTGTTTGGCTTCTTCTATATGAACTAATCTTCTTGTGGTACGCACCCAGGTTTCATTATGATCCAAATTACTTGTAGAAACCAACAAGGATGGTAAATTAGGATAACACACATATCCGGCAGGAGATACACGGAACTGGGAGTCTAATGCCAATATAAGACGTACAGTTCCCTCCACTTGAGAGGCATAATGTTTCTCTTCATGAGAATTTGCATGATTAACATTATCTTCTCTTTCCTCTTTTTTCGCCGTAGAAAGTAAAAAGTCATGTAAATAGACAATATGATTAGATACTGCTATTGTCGTATCTGAAGTATTAGGTTGATGGGATGGTTTGGAGTTTCCACACAAATCTTTTGTTCCCATGTATTCCCGATAGACAAGATCCACTAACGCAGTTATTGTCAGTGGCTGGGATGATAGTAATACTTGTCGAACCATTATTTCACGAATACGACGTTGTGCAGAAATGTGTGGGATATTTATAGTCGTTTGTCGTGTTGCTGATACTGCAGCTGATGAATAGGAAGAAGAAGAAGAAGAAGAAGGAGAGGAAGAAGATGTCTTTCTTGTTGTTGTTGTTGTTGTTGTTGTTGTTGTTAACGTTTTTCTTCTTAACTGGGACATCGTAAATGCAATGGTATTAAAGGAAGGGTTCCGCCCAAACAACCATCGTCGCATTTCTTTTCTCTTTTTAACTTTTTCCAAAAGGTTGAGAATCAATCTATCTGTCTATACTTGTAGTGGGCAATGGCCTTCTTCTGCTTCCCACAGCTCTCTCTCTCTCTCTCTCTCTCTCTCTCTCTCTCTGTATATGTGTGTGGAAGCCCACAGAGAGGAGCGATTAACGGTTTTCTGAATAGTTCCTTCTATGCTTAATCTCTCCACTCCACCGCCCTTACTCCTAAAAACAAAAAAGGAAAAGAAAATAAAAACAAAAATGAAATTCCCGTTATTCATCAACGTAAGAACCAAAAAGAAAAAAAAAAACAAAACAAAACTAATAATAAAAAAATAATCTATAGCGGAACGAACAAACAAACAAAAAAAAAGACTGGATAGGCAAACTGTAAATATTTATATACAAAGAAAGAAAGAAAGAAAGAAAAAAAAAGAAAACCATTAATGGTTTGAGAATATCTACTCTAGAGAGTATATCGCATTAATATTGTTTTCCTCTACTCCCTCACATTTGCTAATGACGGCAATAGCCACTGCAGAAAGAATACAGAAAAAAACAAAGAGGGAGAAAGAGGGTTATATAGTTTACATGAAACATTAGAAATAAGTAATAGCAACAAGTTAAATCAGGGCCATACCCACTATCTGATAACAGACCACAAAACAGTGTGGGGGTTATTACGGTACTCTCCGTATCTTAACACCTCTTCTTTTTCTTTTTTCTTCTTCTTCTATTCCTTTTTCTCACACTTTTACCGATGTTTCCGTACGACTGCCAAACGTTTCATCTCACGCTCCACGGCCCCTGCAATTCCATCAAAGATACGCTTTTCTTCGTCTGTTTCATTTTCCAAATCTCCAATATCTTTTACTGTTGTTGTTGTTGTTAACATTGAAGTGGAGGTTCCTTCTCTTCCTTTGGCTGCAGGCGGCAGTTGTTCAATGATCTGTCGCAGAGTCTCCAGTACATTTCCCCCATTCGCAGATTCCTTCCCACCACCACCGCTACTGTTTTCTTCTTCCTCCTCCTCTTCCTCATCATCTGTACTACTTCCGTCTTCCTCTTCCTCCTCTTCATCATTATCATTATTATCATCATCTTCATCTTCCTCTTCTTCTTCTTCTTCATTCCCCCTTTCGCTCTCCATCGTTTCCAGCAGTTTCACTAATTCCACTGCTGGCCCCGCCTTTAATCCCCAACGCTCCACAATTTGCCGCGCCACTGCCGCTGCCTGCGATGTGTTCTGCTGCTGCAGTACATGCAAGAGCGGCACGGCCATTGCAATGTAACTACGCGTCGCCTCATCACTCATCACATCGTCAGCATTCACAACAGAAGGAACATTGGGTTCACTACTCTCCTGCGTAGACACAGAGTGCATTTCACACCACTCCCTTTTTTGTGTAGCTGATCCACACACACACACACA